TACAACAAAGCCCTTTGAATTTTAATGCAATATTTAAAATAAATATGTAAGTGTAGGAAACTAGCTTTATTTCTGCTGTAGTGTTATTTGGTCCCCAGAGATGGTTCTGGCTTAGAGCATTTGCTTGGCAGATACAAAGAAGCGCTGTCTATTTTCTGTTTATAACTCATAAATATTGAGATTAGCTTTCACACATAATGGACGGGATTGTGGGCCACGTTCTCCTCCATGGCAGCAGCTGCAGCTTTCCGCAGAAGGAAGATCACACGGATCCAATTGCAACTCTTTTCTCTTTGCAGTTCTTCCTTAGCATTAGTCTGGCATAAATAGATGTGGTTTAGGGTCTGCTATAATCTATGCTAGGTGGCAACAGTTCCCAAGGCAATCCCTGAGCACGTGCCCGTTAGGCCCTTTCCTCTGTTTCGAAACTCCGGGTCTGACCAGCGGGAATGGTGAGAGGCAGCATTGCTAAGGAGATAAGGGAACTAAAAAGCTTGCTACTAGGGTACAGGAGACTGCTAATTAAACTGACTAAAGGCTAAGCATGTTAAAATAGTACACATAAAACAAAAACACATCAGTTTTCAAAGTTTTTTAGATGGAATAAATCATTTTGAAATTAATCCTGAAAGGATGATAAGCCACGTTAAAGCTTACGCTTGTTATCAGCTACTAAAAGGTGAAACATATTAAATATAAAATAAAACAGTATTTTGCCAGCAATACATACTGCCACTGCAGTTCTTAAGAGAGCCCTTTAAGCCAAAGGGCCTGGGTAGCTAAACACCCATAACAACAGTCTGTTCAGGTGCCAGCCCCAGTTGCTTCTGAAAGTTCAGAGGGAAAAGTTTTTCAATGTATTTGGGTAATTTGTTTCAAAGATCGGCTCAGTCAAAACCGAGAAAGCTGCTGGAAGTTAAAAAGAGAGACTGCTTCTATTTCCTCTCTGGAACGAAAATGAATACAAACGCAAGACATGACTAAATGCATGAAAAGCTATAAAACTGTCTGCACAAATTTGTATTAATATTGGGAATCTTCCTATGTAATGAGAAGGAGCTGCATACTTATTGCACAGACTTGCATTTAGTTGGAAGTCCGATGTGCTAAGGATTAAACGACTGGTTTTCCTTTAGAAAATAAGTAAAATTACAACTACAAAACAAGATTAAGATGAATTTAAATAAAGCTTTCAAACTTGCTCATTTAAATCAGTAGCTGAAATCACCACCACTCTGATTTAAATACGTATCTCATAGGGGAGATGCAGATAATTCCTGCT